GGTGTATATCAGTATGTAGTGTCTCTACTTTAAAGAGTCCTCTCCTGCTGATGTTCAGGTGTATATCAGTATGTAGTGTCTCTACTTTAAAGAGTCCTCTCCTGCTGATGTTCAGGTGTATATCAGTATGTAGTGCCTCTACTTTAAAGAGTCCTCTCCTACTGATGTTCAGGTGTATATCAGTATGTAGTGTCTCTACTTTAAAGAGTCCTCTCCTGCTGATGTTCAGGTGTATATCAGTATGTAGTGTCTCTACTTTAAAGAGTCCTCTCCTGCTGATGTTCAGGTGTATATCAGTATGTAGTGTCTCTACTTTAAAGAGTCCTCTCCTGCTGATGTTCAGGTGTATATCAGTATGTAGTGTCTCTACTTTAAAGAGTCCTCTCCTGCTGATGTTCAGGTGTATATCAGTATGTAGTGTCTCTACTTTAAAGAGTCCTCTCCTACTGATGTTCAGGTGTATATCAGTATGTAGTGTCTCTACTTTAAAGAGTCCTCTCCTGCTGATGTTCAGGTGTATATCAGTATGTAGTGTCTCTACTTTAAAGAGTCCTCTCCTGCTGATGTTCAGGTGTATATCAGTATGTAGTGTCTCTACTTTAAAGAGTCCTCTCCTGCTGATGTTCAGGTGTATATCAGTATGTAGTGTCTCTACTTTAAAGAGTCCTCTCCTGCTGATGTTCAGGTGTATATCAGTATGTAGTGTCTCTACTTTAAAGAGTCCTCTCCTGCTGATGTTCAGGTGTGTATCAGTATGTAGTGTCTCTACTTTAAAGAGTCCTCTCCTGCTGATGTTCAGGTGTATATCAGTATGTAGTGTCTCTACTTTAAAGAGTTCTCTCCTGCTGATGTTCAGGTGTATATCAGTATGTAGTGTCTCTACTTTAAAGAGTCCTCTCCTGCTGATGTTCAGGTGTATATCAGTATGTAGTGTCTCTACTTTAAAGAGTCCTCTCCTGCTGATGTTCAGGTGTATATCAGTATGTAGTGTCTCTACTTTAAAGAGTCCTCTCCTGCTGATGATCAGGTGTATATCAGTATGTAGTGTCTCTACTTTAAAGAGTCCTCTCCTGCTGATGTTCAGGTGTATATCAGTATGTAGTGTCTCTACTGAAAAAGATGTTCCACAAGATGAAGGATTACTGTGAGCTCCCCTGAGGACTGAAGGTATTCCCTGGGTTCAGACTTACAGGAACTCGGGCAAATGGATATGAGTGATGAAGTAAAAATGCAAGACTCAGAGTCTAGTCATCATAAGACTTCCACTGACACATACTGAATACATGAAGACTTTACATTTATTTAATCACATTTTCATTTATTTGTATTTATTTACAATATCTTTATTTATTTTATTATTTAGTTATTCCCCTGCGTTGTCCAACAAATATCAAGCTAGCTTAAGGAAATCGTGGTTTAGGTTAAAATAAATAAGGAATTTTCCTCTAACCACAAAACTGATTCCCCTCCAGCTCCATGACTGCTGTCCGGTCTCAGCTTGACCTCTGACCTTTGACCTCTAAAAGTAGGAATAGAGAAGTGAAACAGAGGGTCTCGGGGTCAGAGAGGTGAACATCAAAGACTTTCTCCTTAAATTAGAGACCCATGAACTGCTCTCTCCTGCAGGGTATGTTTGTTTTCAACTCAAAACCTCTACTTCCTATTCTGGAAGTTGTGTGACGTCTTTATGGCCGCAATAAGACAGGTGGTGAAAAGTGTTGCTGTTTGACTTCAATACTGCTGTCTTTTATCCGGTCTAATGCCCTGAATCAGTGCCGATGTATTCAGGATTTAACATCCCAAAATACAGTAAACATGTGTAATTTGGCACGAGTGGTAGTTGTTATTAACTTTGTGATTGATAAAAACACCTAAAACCCAAAACACAGTACTGAATCAATTAAATACATCAATAAAATAACAATTAAAATACATTTTTAAATAGGTGAGTCTCTCTACCTCTCACTATATCATACAATACTGTAACGGCATGCACTTTATCTCCCCTTGGCACTGTCTAGTTGGATGCAAACTGCAATAATCTCCCAGTTTACGATACGATACGATACGATAACACTTTAATGGTCAGATCAAGTCTGAAATGCTCCTTGCATCACAGCAGCTCCATGTGTAACATCAACATAAATAAATATCAAGACACAATACATGAAAAACAATAAACAAACATTGAACATACCAGCAGGATCAGTGAGAGAAAACATGCTCAAAGAGCCTTCAGCGTGCATCTGATCTGGATTCTAACATTTCGTTGTACTTTAAAGGTCACTTATTGTGCAAAATCCTCTTCTTCATGTCTCTTCTACATCAACATGTGTCCCCTCTTCTTCATGTCTCTTCTACATCAACATGTGTCCCCTCTTCTTCATGTCTCTTCTACATCAACATGTGTCCCCTCTCTTTCATGTCTCTTCTACATCAACATGTGTCCCCTCTTCTTCATGTCTCTTCTACATCAACATGTGTCCCCTCTTCTCATGTCTCTTCTTCATCAACATGTGTCCCCTCTTCTTCATGTCTCTTCTTCATCAACATGTGTCCCCTCTTCTTCATGTCTCTTCTTCATCAACATTTGTCCCCTCTTCTTCATGTCTCTTCTTACATCAACATGTGTCCCCTCTTCTTCATGTCCTCTTCTACATCAACATGTGTCCCCTCTTCTTCATGTCTCTTCTACATCAACATGTGTCCCCTCTTCTTCATGTCTCTTCTTCATCAACATGTGTCCCCTCTTCTTCATGTCTCTTCTTCATCAAACATGTGTCCCCTCTTCTTCATGTCTCTTCTTACATCAACATGTTGTCCCCTCTTCTTCATGTCTCTTTCTACATCAACATGTGTCCCCTCTTCTTCATGTCTCTTCTACATCAACATGTGTCCCCTCTTCTTCATGTCTCTTCTACATCAACATGTGTCCCCTCTTCTTCATGTCTCTTCTACATCAACATGTGTCCCTCTTCTTCATGTCTCTTCTACATCAACATGTGTCCCCTCTTCTTCATGTCTCTTCTACATCAACATGTGTCCCCCTCTTCTTCATGTCTCTTCTACATCAACATGTGTCCCTCTTCTTCATGTCTCTTCTACATCAACATGTGTCCCCTCTTCTTCATGTCTCTTCTTCATCAACATGTGTTCCCTCTTCTTCATGTCTCTTCTACATCAACATGTGTCCCCTCTTCTTCATGTCTCTTCTTCATCAACATGTGTCCCCTCTTCTTCATGTCTCTTCTACATCAACATGTGTCCCCTCTTCTTCATGTCTCTTCTACATCAACATGTGTCCCCTCTTCTTCATGTCTCTTCTACATCAACATGTGTCCCCTCTTCTTCATGTCTCTTCTACATCAACATGTGTCCCCTCTTCTTCATGTCTCTTCTACATCAACATGTGTCCCCTCTTCTTCATGTCTCTTCTACATCAACATGTGTCCCCTCTTCTTCATGTCTCTTCTTCATCAACATGTGTTCCCTCTTCTTCATGTCTCTTCTACATCAACATGTGTCCCCTCTTCTTCATGTCTCTTCTTCATCAACATGTGTCCCCTCTTCTTCATGTCTCTTCTACATCAACATGTGTCCCCTCTTCTTCATGTCTCTTCTACATCAACATGTGTCCCCTCTTCTTCATGTCTCTTCTTCATCAACATGTGTCCCCTCTGTGTAAAGAGATTCTGAAAGTTTCAGAAACAAAGATTCTCTCTCTTTTTGTCCTGATCCATTTCTATAAAAACCTGTCTGAAAATGAGCTGATCAGATTTTGGCCACTTTATGATGTCATAACATAAAAAGCGTGACCACATCACCCCAATTCTGGCCTCACTGCACTGGCTTCCAGTTCGGTTCAGAATTGATTTTAAAATCCTTTTATTTGTTTTTAAAGCACTAAATGGGCTGGCTCTGGCCTATATAGCTGAACTCCTCCAGCGCTACACCCCAGCCAGAGCTTTAAGGTCTGCTGACCAGCTGCTGCTGGTAGTGCCCAAGACCAGGCTAAAAACCCGAGGGCACCGAGCCTTCGCAGCAGCTGGCCCTAGGCTCTGGAACACTCTGCCCCTCCATGTGAGGTCGGCCCAGACCCTAGGGGTTTTTAAATCTAAACTAAAAACACACTTCTTCTCTCTGGCCTTCTAGTCAGAGCGGAGCACGACTCCTGACTTTTCCCTGTGTTTTTTTAATTTAATTTTTTATATATATCTGTTGTAATTTATTGTCTTTTATTGTGATTGTAGTAATGTGTTTTTATTACATGTACAGCACTTTGGCTCGACCAAAAATCGCTTTTAAATGTGCTTTATAAATAAAACCTGATTTGATTTGATAACGATTTTTTGTCGTTCATTCTTTGTAACCAAATGTCTCTCAGAGGGGCGTGGGGAGGGGCTCCTTATTTTCATCTAAAGTAACAGACAGAGAATCAGCACTTTGGAAACAGGGCTGAAACAGAGGGGATTATGGGATGCTGCAATGATCTGTTTGGTGTTTCAGCCAATCAGAGACAGGCTCTGGATATATCTGAGACCTGTGATATATTGATGATAAACAGTATAATAGGGAACCTTTAAACAATAACCATTAAGTTGAATCTGATCTATTTAAAAATCGGCTATAGCATGTATATCTTTTCCTAACTTTTACATATTACATGTCACTTGTTAGACGCTTTTTTTATCCAAAGCGACTTACATACTCCATACTGTGGACAATCCCCACAGGAGCAATTTGGGGTGAAGTGTCTCAGGGACACAACGACATGCTGACTGTAGTGGGGTTTGAACCTGTGCTCCCCTGATCCAACCAACGCTCTATCCACTGCGCCACACGTCTCCTATATCATACAGCCAGTGAAAAAACGTGTTGGAAAACTTTCTAACTGCAGTTTCCAGTGCTTTCCCTGAGACATTAGACCACTCCCACCAGAGTAGAGAGAGAGAGAGAGAAAGTGGGAGTAATGGGAGGGGGGGGGGGGTAATGGAGGGGAATGTGTCTGAAACTGGGACGTCCCACTGGTAATGTCTTCTGAGTGAACAGTTGAAGCTCTTAGATCGCCCTGAACTCTGAACACTGCTGACTTCTTCTCTGCAAAGCTAACGGTAAGAGCGCTCACTCTGCAACACATCTACAGACTCTTTTAGTTTAGTTTTTCATCACACTGTGGAAACACTTTAGAAATGCCTTACTGATCTGCTCAATACTTAATGTTTGATAAGATAAAAAGCACAATAACTACAAACCTATAACACATATAGAACATATTGTATAGATAACATAGAACTGCAAGATTAACCCTGACCCTAACCCTAACCCCTAACCCTAGGTTTACTTTTTGGGGGATTTCTCTTCTGGAAAACAACCATTTTTATATATTCTTTTAAGGTATGTGTTGCCCTTAAATGACATATATTTGTCAAACAATCACATGTCTTTGCCAGTTGCAATAAATCAAGTAAAATATTCTTTTTCTGCAAGTCTGACCAAAGCAAAATCCAATCTTTTCTTGCTACAAACTGAACGCAGAATGCAACAGATTATCCAGCTTTGCTGTCCGTGGTAATTTCCCAATTGTCCACCTGGTTGAACTTATTCTTAAATGACTGACATCTGGTTTAACGAGCACCTCAGAGAGCGATCCGCCTCTGTCATTACGGCCAAAACAGCTGCGAGGGAAATCACGCCCTGCAGGTAAACAAGCTGCCATTAGGTATTGTGTGCCACATCGACAAATAGGGGAGGGGGAGGAGGCTGTGGGGTTAATGCTTTGGGGGGAGGAGGGTGAATCAGACAGAGACTCATATGCTGCTTTATTTGACATTTGAGTTGATCATCAGCTGAAGAAACTGCTGCTGTTTCTTTGTTTTTGAGCAATTTCCAGTTTTTGTTCACCCTTTCTTTAGGGTTTACCTCCATGAGCGAGGAAAAGATTAAAGAAAGACATAAATACAAGTGGAAAGAAGACTGGGTTGATGTGTTGCTGTATTTATCTTGCTTTGAGTTGATTATCTGCTGTCAAACAATGAAGAAACTGCGGCTGTTTCTCAGTTTTTGAGCATTTTCCAGTTTTTGTTCACCCTTTCTAGACGGTTAACTTCAATGAAAGTGAAATAACTGAAATACATAAATACATAAATACAAGTGGAAAGACGATTGGGTTGCTTATTTATCTTGCTTTGAGTTGATTATAGCTGTCAAACAATGACAGTTTTTGAGCATTTCCTAGTTTTTCTTAATGCATTCTGCAGGGTTTACCTCTGAGGGAATAAAGTAACTGATAGAGAGACATACGCGTGTGCATGGGATTCCAACAAAGAGCAATAGGAGTGTTTTTTCTCCCACAAATATCTCCCTCCCTGTGACTCCCCCCTCTCTCTCTGATTACTCCCGTGTTCAGGAATGTGTGTTTCCATGGGAATCGGTTACCAGCTGTTTCAGGCTCGCTGTTCGTTAGTTCAGATGCCCTCAAGTGTCGGGACGTCACTTTTAAGCTCAGCCACGGGGGAAAGGGGATTTGCTGACAAGAACGAGGAGAACAATTCCTGCTTTGGGGCCTTTTTTCTGAAAGTTTGTGCCTTTTAGTTTGAAGAAAAATGTTAATCTGACAGCAGACGAAGTGTCAAGAGTTTGTGTTTGGGCCTTTTTCCTGTTTCAACATGACAACACCAAGCACAAGCTGCAAAGAGAAATGGATTTTATAGTTTTATTCTAGCCTCAATCCCATCCAGCACTTCTAGGAGCCAGAGCTAATCAGTTTTGCGACCCACAAAAGCTCAAATTGTGGCTGAATTTGAGCAAATATATGCAAATATTGGTGTTTAAACTGAATTCAGAAGAGAATTAAGGGTAGGGTGTGTCAATGAGTAAAAAAACACCACTTTCCGAACCTGCTTTGGAAGGTTCTCCACCCCAAAAACCTAATTAATGATAAGTTAAAAGACAAAATGCTAATTTTTAAGTCCTTATCCTTTTAGATCTGATTATATTCAACCTTATTGTAATTGCCCGTCCAACCAGAAACTGCAATGAGTTGATATTTGGGTGTTTGAGCTTCTTTGATTTGCAGAATCATAACTCAAGAAGTCTTTTGATTTATATTCATCTGCTGAAGTAGGGACGTTTCTCTGACCTCCAATTAAAGAGTTTCAACACATGGAGGTACGACTTTGTAAACATTAGACCTTGGAAACAAATCCCAGTTAAAGCCTCCTGAGAAAGGACTTTAAAGCCAAGGGTCCATATTGGCATCTTTTCCTGAGTTGTTATGCATTAATGCCAAAAGTCTTCTTGTTCCAACCCTTTATTATCAATGCCATATGATGCTTGAATTGCGTAACATATTTAAATCAGAGACACTTTGTTTACTCAAGTTTGAAAAGATGGAAATACTCGATGCAGGATCTTTGGAAACGAGCATTTTAAGTAATTATGTCACTACTAGTAATTAAGTGTCTTGAGTCCAATCTGAAGCGCCTCAAAAACTCATTAGACCTTTTACTTTCCACGCTTCACACTGACTGATATGTTTGAAAGACTGTTTAAGAAAGAAAAGTGGTGTTATCTCCGTCTTTTGATTCCAGATCAGATTGGTTTTTTTGTCCCGCCTTTCAAGGAAGACTGGAGGACAAAAAGCGTCTGCTTCGGTTTGATTGAGGTAGAGAAAAGGCTGCCTAATTGTTGAGGTGGCAGGTCTGGACCAAGGAGGAGGAGGAGGAGGAGGGAGGAGGAGGGAGGAAGGGGAGGGGGAGCTGAGGATTCTGGGAAATACCGTGCCAGCTTGGCAATCTCCAGAAAAGCTCTAATCCCCCGACAGGAAGTTAGGATTGCGCTGCTGTCCAAACTTGACGTGGAGAAGAAGAGTCTGGAGTGTGAAGAGAAAGGGGACATGACATGGAAAACACTATATAACAGATATACATATAAAAGAGATGAAGTTGTGAGCCAAAAGTGAAGAAGGTGGAAAGACTGACTAAATGAGAGGGAAGCTAAAGGTGACTCAGTCCAGAAACCTCTCAGTGGCTTCAAGGCTTTTCCTTCAGGAACACCTTTGTTTGTGTTAGACATCACAACTTCACAGTTCTTCTATATATTTCAAGCCAGAGCTTTGAAAACACATCAGTTCCTGTGTGGAAGTTGGAAGTGAACACACAGCTGAAGTCAAATCATTCTTAAGGCATGTTATTAGGATGAAAAAGCTGCATTTATATGACTAGTTCATGGTTGCATTTTTCTTCACACACTGACTTGCTGGCTGGCTGCCACACTGACTTCATAAAGATGACGACGTTAAGCCTCTCACTGTTTACATACAGCAAGAAGACAGACACAGGTCGCTGGAGAGGACAAAATAAAGGCAAACCACAGATTTGAGACGTTGAATGATAACATCTAAGCAGACAAATGTGCGTTGAATAATTTCATCATAGCATAGAGGCAGGGGACGTCTGATAGCATGAGCATCAAGGTGTACAAATAGTCGTTTCATACTTTTAGCCGTAATCACAACAATGTTAAGACACGATAAAACTAGAAAGACACATGGAGAGCGCCGACTTACGCCAATGCTGTTTCCATTTGTGGAAAATTACATGATTTTCTGCCTTGCTGTTGGGATCCGCTCCAAAATGAAATACTTGGTTTGGGTTGATACACCCTTCCACCAAGTTTAATGTAAATCAGTCAGGATTTTGTTCCTAATCCTGCTGACAAACCCACCAAAACAATCAAAACAAACTCTTAAGATATAGCTGGCTTTTATTTTTAAGCAACAAAACCATATTTCCAACCTAGAGAACTCAGAGAAAGGATAGAAATACTAATATCTTCGAGGTAAACTGGCTCGGAGCAGAACGTTTTCCACCCTACAGTGTGAGATTCTTTGAAAGAAAGCAATGAGAAAGGAAAGGGGGAAGGGAGTCAACTCAGGTTACATATATCCTGACTTCGTGTTCCCTTTAAAACGCTCTTCCACTATCCTCTTCTGGCTTGGCTCTTTGTGCTCAGTTTCCTAAATGATAGGGATGGCTGGTGGTCTCTGAGACTGCTCTTTGTCCAGGAGATGTAAAGGGTTTCCCTCTGAACTCTGCAGGGGCAGACTGAATATGGCAGGTGTCTTGTTGCCAGTTGAGGCAGGCTTCATTCATTGTTCGTCTGTACGCCTTTGAAAGGTAAACGCACTATTATGTGAGTATAATCCAGACATGCAGGTGTGCCTCTAAGGAACAGGTGGCCCTCAATTTGAGCAAATACCTGCAAATATTGGTGTTTAAACTGAATTCAGAAGAGAATTAAGGGTAGGGTGTGTCAATGAGTAAAAAAACATGACTTTCCGAACCTGCTATGGAAGTTTCTCCACCCCAAAAAATCAATTAATGATAGGTTAAAAGACAAAATGCTCATCCATTAGATTGGATTACATTCAACTTCAATGTCATTGCACATACTACGAGGAAATGCAATTTGCATCCAACCAGAAACTGCATATAGATATAATAAGATAAGGAAGTAGAATAAAAAGCAACAAAGTCCATGTAGGAAAACGGTCTGAATAAAGCAAACAAGCACAGGACTTTCACCCAGAAAACTGCCATTGAACATCGAGTTATTTAGCTATTACGCCATATAAGCAAGTTACGTAACAAACGTACTTCTTTAATCCAAACCAAGATATTCTCCTGAAGCTAACCAAGAAGTTTTGTAGTCATCCCACGTTCTGAACATTGATTGCTTGTGTTGATGGAAATGTGTAGAAGTACTCACGAAAAACTCCAACATCGCTATTCGTTATATATCGTACAAATACTGTAAGTGGGCTTTTGAAGGATGCAGCTTGAATTGAAGGAGTAACACAATAGTTGCTGCAGGTTGTTAAGATAACCCTAACTCCTCAAAAATAACTTAACCGGAAAATCTGGCAATAACTTTTTACTGGTTTACATTTGCTGAGCCCGTTTTTAGAAAGTCTTTACGGCCAAACTAAGATCTCTTGACATTGTTTCTAGCACCTGTTTGGCCTCTTACATTCCTGTTAGGTCCCAAAAAGATCACTCCACCAATAAAAAACCAAATGGTCTAGAAGAGTTTCCTTTCCCAGCTAGTTGTT